TGTGTATGTGTATATATATGTAAATGTATATATGTATATATGTATGTATTTATATGTATATATATATATAAATGTATATATATATTTATATGTATATGTATATATGTATTTATATATATGTAGATATATATGTGTGTGTGTAAATATATATGTATATATATATATATATATATATATATATATATATATGTGTGTGTGTGTGTGTATATACACCATTGTCTTGGTCTCTCATTTCATGGTGCCTCTTGGCACTCCTCTGGCTTTTTCTGATTTGTGATTTTGTGCCGAATGTAATAATTAAATAAATAACCTCCACTAACTGTCAGGTTGGAGAAAAAATATATATACAAGGAAACAAAATAAATAGAACACAGTCGAACTAAGTAAAGAGTTTTTTTTTTTTTTATTATTCACCTTATATTTTCTCTGGGATCGATAGGCAACAGACATAGGTGACCAAGGCGAAGAAAATAAGGAAGTTAGAAACAACATTTCTAAGGTGTTTACTAATTTAAGGTGTTACCTGATGCCTTCCCCTGGAGATGATGTCTGTGAGGGAAATGCCAAATGTGTCATTGGAGGTTAGTAATTATATAGATTCACATTTTATCCAGAATAGTATTTTTTTATGTTAATGGATAAAAACACAACAAAGTACCAAAAAACTCAAACATATTTCTATTGTGCCCAAAATATTAAATACAGTATACCATATCTTTGCCTAAACCTGCTTTTTCATGCTGTAGGATTTTTTTGCCCAGCAACAACCAATCCAACCAATCACCCATTGCATGTGAAGACTGCCCACTTATTATTTTGTGAGTATTTGTTAATTTTACCAATCAAGCCTAGGACTGTCTCACCCAAATTAAAACGGAACAGTAGAGAAAATCTGATCAGAATGACAAAATAAACTAAGCATCCACTGGAAGGAATCCCAATATCTGTAGACGGATCCGTTTCGGCTTCCAGGCCTCATCAGTGCAGCTAGGGTACAGACCCAAACGAAACGTTCGACCAGCTTAGGTAGGGCCCAATCTAGTCCCACGACCACTAATGAATACAGAGCCAAACCAAGGCAATATATATACACAGCCCAGGTGTGAATGCAAATAGTGGAATAGTGGTGTGTGAGTGTGGGGGGGGGGGTATGTATGTGTGTATGTATACATATATGTATATATTATCATATCATAATCCAGATGTGTGTATTTTTTATATTTTCAGAAACATCTCAACGATTCCAGGAGCATTTTATGAATTTGATGCAGACTTTGTTTGCCTCAGGAATATCTGAAGTTCAAAGAATTGATGGCAGAGACATGACATGTGGGATTTTATGTAGAAACTTTCAGGTATTTTTCATGCTAATCCATTGTAACATCTCCTGTTTTATAAACAATTTAGTGGCAACCTTAATGCATAAAGTACAATGATAATCACGAATGCCTATAGACTACCTTTTAGGTTTTCATTCTGTTTGCATGATAAACAAATACTATAATTTTCTAATTCATGTATACATGTATATTTCAGGAACTTACAGACTCTATTAATCGTGGAAAAGGATTTGACATTACTTCGATGGCGGAGGTGAGATTTTATTCTAGAATACTTTTTATACTTTTTTATTTAAATCTTATTATTTTGTCTTATTTGAGCATCAAGACTGGGGACTGCAAAACACATTATGATGGATTTCAATAATCAATTACAATATTATACAGTAGTAGTTCTAAAAAAAATGTGAATAAAAATTTGACAAAGATATGTCAAATTTTCGTGCTTAATATTACATAGGCCCATTAAAGTAGAAAGATGGTCCACATGATGCATGACTGACTCTCTATGATGGTGAAAAAAGGGTTTTTAAACATTTTAAATGGTGCTCTAAAATTAACAGTTTTATTATTTCAAGGAGTCAATGAATGATACATTTATTTTTTCTCTTCATATAGGCTAATGCTATTTCACATGAATTTAAAATGTACAGAAAAGTGCTCAATGATTTTGATGCAAGGATTAAAAAGGTGAATGTTTCTTCTAACCTAGACATAATTATATAATAATTTTAATATTACGACGTTATGTAGTTAATAGCAGTATTGCACCTGTAATTAATAACAATGATGACATAGCTATTTTTGGGATCTCAAGACTTAACGTGAGAGTGTTTAGAGGTTAGAGAGAGTACCTGGCAGGGCTAAAATGACTAGCTGCCTCCCTTGGAAGGTATGTATGCGTTTCATAACTGTTTAATGAAATGACTGGCGCAATATTATACTAATGTGAAGCACATAGAGGCATTCATGATGACGGGATAAAATGATGCCATTTTTATTCTTACTGCTCTTGTTGGCCCAACGAACTCTGACTTTGGTTGGCTAGACGTTCGGCTGTCCGTAGTGCCAACGTAGATACACCTCATTAGAATGACGTCAGTCTGATATACGCAAACTACCTTGGCCCAACGAATTACATAATGACGTCGGCTTGAAGATTGTTTTTCTATAGGGCCAGTCCGTTGGGAAGACATCGACACGAATGGATAAATAAATATCGTCTACACATTTTTAGTAAATTGAGCTGCTTGCAAAGGTGTATTCCATGCTGTGCTAAAAGCTTAAACTATCATGTAACTCCTTGTATTTTATCATTTGTTGTGACGTAACATACGTAACTCTCCAGGTGCAGATCCAGGGAATAGCACTCCCCTTCAAAATGTAAGAAAAATAGAGAGAGAAAAAAGAAAAGAAACGAAAAGGACAAAAAGGGGTACGGTACGGTCCTCCTAAAAGAGCTAATTTTCGACTTCAATTCCATCACATACATATAATGATCAACATCTTAAAAGCACTTGAAAATATATATATGACAAAATTATCAAGTTAATAATTAATAACGATTTTTAAAGCGCAAACATCACCACCAAAAATAGGTGCTCAAGGCACAGTGTCAAAACAACAGGAAGAGAACAAACAGATCACAAAGAACAAAGTGAAAACATGTTAATTTTTATTTATTTTTAATTTATTAAAGAAAATTAAGCAGCACAAGAAATCAAATATCAAAAATTACCTTGTCAGTTTTCCAGGGATATTTTTCACATTTAATTTCATTTCATCTTATGTTCCCTTTTCTTATCTTTCCTTATCTTTATGTTACCAAAAATTACTTACCTTTACTTTCCCTTTCAGATGTATTCCTTGTTTCCTTAAATAATATAATTTTTTTTTCAGATCTTCCTCATGTGACCTTTTCTTTTCTTTTCATTTTTCTTTCTTATGTTTCCTTCTATTCCTTTTCATCGTCTTTCTTAATTCTCCTGTTCTTTTCAGTTTCTTTGCCTTTCTTTGTCTTTCCTTTCTCATGTCAGATCTTTCTTTTCTTGTTCTTTATCATATAACCTTTTCTTTTCTTTCTTATGTTTCCTTATCCATTCCTTTTTATTATATTTCTTAAGATTCCTGTTCTTTTCCTTTTCTTTCTTGTGTTTTCTTATCTTTCTTTCTCTTTTCTTTCTCATGTTCCCTTAACTTTCTTTCCTTGTTCTTTCTTATGTGACATTTTCATTTCTTTCATTTTCTTTCTTTGTTTCCTTATCCATTTCTTTCCATTATATTTCTTAAGTTTCCTGTTCTTTTCCTTTTCTTTGTCTTTCTTATGTTTCCTTATCTTTCCTTTCTCTTTTCCTTCTCTTGTTCCCTTAACTTTCTTTCCTTGTTCTTTCTTATGTGACATTTTCATTTCTTTCATTTTCTTTCTTTGTTTCATTTTCTTTCTTAGTTTATGAACAAGTATTTTTTATTGTAGACAATATGGGTTTAGAAAAGTCTACGATACCTCCATGGCACTTATTGACCTCACAAATAATTTTTATACTGTATACTATCGGAATCTTTAGTGAACTTCTAAAGCCTTCTACACAATTGACCATAGCAATCTTTTACATAAGCTATCTCACTATGGTATTCGCGGTTCCTCCCTCAGTCTTTTTCAAAGTTATCTTACAAATTGTGCCCAGTGTACTAAACACTCCAGTTCTATTTCTAATTTTTGTTTGATCACTTGTGGTGTTCCCCAGTGATTTTTTATTCCTTTTATATATCAATAATATTCACTTATCTTCTAAACTTAATGCCAATTTCAATAAATGTTTCTCTAAACAGCTTAAAACATTTAGTTAAAAGTTATTAATTTCTTTTCTCTCCCATTGCATTTGCCATTGATTTCTGATTTTTTTTTTCTGCGTGTCATGTTTCATTTTAATAATTTCAATTTATTTTATTTGTCCATTTGTAAATATTTAACCGAGATAAATAACATTAACAGAGAAAAATTAATGAGAGAACACACTGAAATTACATAATTAAAACAGTTTTTCTGCGAATGTAGAATACATATAGGATAAGGGTGGGTAATTGTGGACAGTATCCAATCCATGGAGACCACCTACAATAAATCGATTCTACTGACCAGTAGTTGGCAGAGAAGTCTAAATTGCGCCATCTATTGCCTTCCTTGTCCTTCCCGCGATGTTATGAATGCAGCTTTTGCATCGAGTGAACACATTTTATTCATGAATTTGGAAAAAGTATACAAAGCCATGATTATTTGTTACCGCAATTTTGGGCTGATGCAAAAATTGAATTTCTAAAGAACGGTATTTTGGTAATTATTGTTGTATTTTGTACATTACTATTGTGTAAAAGGACTGTGCAATGGCTGCTTCGGTGAACTGGCAGACTAGTATTGTGGCTAGACTGTTTTGTCGACAAATCGGTTGTGTGGGTAATTGTGGACGGGCTAGAGGGCACTGTCTTTTTAGAAGTCTGTCTGAACTCTATAAGACACTTATTAGTGTAAAATGTTATAACATACCAAAATTTCATTGCTGCGAAGCAGCCAATTCATATTCTTGACAGCAATTTGACCTCTGAAAGGTCATTGTTTGTCAAAAAACTATCGCCTAAGACAACTGAAAAGCGGAGTTTCCTTCTATTGTTCTGCCGGGTAAAATCAAAATACTTTAGGCGACGTTTGTAGACTAACCTACTCGTACCAACGTCGGCATGTCGCGACGCTGGAGTACTATTCAGCGTTTGTACTATATTTCTAGGTTTCCTATTTCTACCTTTAATCGGCTCATGTCTCAGCCACAATATTTTGAGGCCAATATTATTTACGAACCCAGTTAAACTTATTTACTAGCCTATTTCAACGTGCTAATTATTACATTTAGGCGACGCTTGTTGTAGACTGGCATAGTGTTTTCGGAAATAAATACCATTTTTATACACATGCGCAGATCGATTCGCCAGCAGCGAGTCATCGCCAGCAGCCGCAGCGAGTCGCCAGCAGCCGCAGCGAGTCGCCAGCAGAGAGATGTCACTGCAGCAAAACACTATTGTACACGGTACCAACGCTGTTCTAATATAGACAATGGGTCGTGCTCATATTATTTGTTATATTTTTATTATTCATTATTTTCACTTGACTCGCATAAATAATTTTGTTCGAAGAACATTTTATGCAGTTGTACTTCGCAGCACTTCACTTGCAATTTGCAATTTCTAGTTTTATAACACAATACATCAAGCGAAAAAATAAGATGCATGTACTGGCCACAATTACCTACACCCATAGGTAATTGTGGACACTAGACCTCAGTGAAATTAATGCTTCTTAGCTAATTAAATAATAATCTGATAATCTTGAATTATGCATGTAATTAAAGACCAATAATAGTTGTTGATAATAAAAAAAAACCTCTGGTATATAACCCAAATCCTTACCCTAATAAATAAAATTTGCACAAAACATTAAGAATTCAAAAAATTAACAACTCATTAACTCGTAAAAACATTGTGGACCCCTACCTAATTCACCCACCTCTTAAAATTAACTGGTATTGCACACACGAATTGAGTGCGGGACAAAAGATCCTGTCGTTTAGTGCGACATTTTACTGACCTTAACCTTCTTCCTGACTGTAAATACGCATTGTAATTATTTAGAGGGTGATTATTGTAGGACATTATTTCATTTGCCTTTTTGTTGATCCTGTCGGTACATTCTCTAGCAAGATCACACCCCTCCCCTATAATTTTGCTAGCCTGTTTAGCAATGGATTCCATATTCTTTCAGACATGCCCCACACCACACCACACAGCACAGTTAAATAAAATACTGTAGTACTTTAGACCAAAGATTTATTGGAGAGTCTGAGTATTGTTGTATTATGCAGAGATCTAAGTTTCCTTAAAAAACATTCGTGTTTGGGCTTTAGAAATTACAGACTTGCATTCTTTAGCCAAAGATAATTTGCTGTCAACAGTTGTTTCTAAGTATTTGTATTTTTGGACGATTTCAATATCTATATCTTTTATATTAATTGGGTCAATTTGTGTCGGGGATTTCTTGAGAAATCAAAAACGATTTCTTTAGTTTTGGATAAATTCAACTGAAGGTAATTCTTATCGCACCAGGTAATGAAATGTCCGATATGCTAGTCTCATCACCATCATTAATAAGACTTAATATTACAATATCGTCTGCATACTTTGAGTATCGACGCAGTTTCCCCTTCCCCCCTATTCATTTATATACAAAATGAACAGCAATGCAGATGAAACACACCTTTGTGGTGCACCAGTGGTAAGTGATATTGATTTGACAGACAATTCTGAACATTAACAACTTGAGTCCTATCAGATAAAAAGTCCTTAATCCACAATATTAGGGAAGATGAAGCATTATTCGATGCAACTTCTGTAGTAGAACATTAATCTGTAAAAGTGTTCAATGCAGATGAAAAATCCACAAATAGGGCTCGCGTGTAGCATATAAGTTTGTCGGTGTGCTGGGCAGTGGTGGCTCTAGGATATATTTTCTGGGGGGCTAAGTTGTCCAACAATGGGACTTGAGCTCGTAGGCTCGAGCTGGAGGAAGGGGTTGAGAGGGGGTACCCCTCCCAAATGAGATTTTTTAAAAGAATATTAACCTCTGGATGGCCGAAAATGGCACTCTCAGACTGTGACAGACATGTGTAGGCTTGGTGTGGGCCTATTTTTTATATGTTTTATGGTCTGATTCCCCGGGGGCTTGACTTGTCCGGTGGGGAGCTTAAGCTCCCCTGCCACCCCGCTGGCGCCGCCACTGGCGCTGGACTAGTAAAGGTATGAGTGTGAGTATCATTGACAGACTTTATGTTATATTGAATTGAATTGATTACGCATTTGGAGTGGAACTCACGATGAGACCCAATTTTAAGCTCTCACACCAGCCTCAGAAAATCCCCCTTTTTTTTTTTGTGAAATCTCATACTGAAATTTCCAATACCTGACATTGTTATGTCATTAAAATATGTAAAGGTAGGTGTCTGTTTGATCTACCTCCACACTCAAAAATATTGGCTAAAGCAATTTTTATTAAAGCGGTTTTGTAATAGCGCATTTGTATGCAAAATATGGTTGCGATTATGAGGCAAGAGAAGAGAGAAACGGTCGATTAGCAATGTCAAGTAAGCTGCTTGCCAACTATGACACTCAACTCAAGTACAATTAAACTATTTTCTTCTATAACTTTGAGATTTTACTCAGACTATTCTATATGAATCTCAGAGATAGATTATATTCTTTGTAGATCTAGATTTAAATGTACTCTATAATTCTTGTGCTTACAGTGGTACCAAAGCTTAATAATAATAATAATTACGATCATCAAATGTTCTGTGCTCACTTATATGGTTAAACCTGTTTTAATTTGTTTAAAACGTAATACTAAGGAAGCGTTTGATTGTTCAACGTTTATTATTCAAGGAAAACATGGAAATGATTGTCAAATAGGAGTACTTTCTTAAGACCGACATATATTGTGCTTTGATTTGCAAAAGTAACAAAGCAGTTGATTGTTCAAAAAAGCGTTTAAAATACATTGAAGAAGTTTGAGCACATCAACAAGTTCAACAGATCAACATCACAAATTTGTATGTGTAACTTTTTTAAGGCCAACTCAGACAGCGTCGTACGACGTAGCCCAACTTGAATTACTGTCGGGGACAGTCTTGAGCCGTCGTGAGAAATATTAAACATGTTTAATGTTCTACGACGCGACTGCCCCTGACGCAAACTATCAAGTCTGCATTTAATTCACACAGACCCGACGTGATAACAAATCATGTCGAGCTGCGTCGTATGACGCTGTCTGAGCTGGTCTTAAAAGGCATTTTTCTCAAAACCTGTTTTAAGAAAGTTGATAAGATGATAATTATTTAAACGGTCATGACTTTGCTTCCAAACACCCGATTGAGTTAATTTAACTTTCATTATAAAGTAAATAATATGTTCTATACAATCATGACAAAACATTATTTTTGTGTTAGGACGAGTTTACAGCCCTTTATGACCTTGCGTCACAAATGATAGTCGCAACATTTTTGTGCAGTGCACGGCGGTTAGTGAGAAGTGATAATCCAAGTGTGTTTGTGTGGAGGATACAAATGGAAACCTTGTTGTTTTTTCTTCAGATGAACTTTAGGTTAAAAATGTGCGAGAGGGATTTCAAAAACAACTCGCATGTGAAAATGTTAAAGGAATGACATTTTATTTTACTAACACGACATTTACAAGATCCAATCACTAGCGAAGAAATCCGAAAAGCTTCATCACGTATTTCACTCAAAACTCAAACGTAATGAGTCTGGTAGGTAAAAAGGAAACACGTCCCTGTACAAGATACCTACCAGACAAACAATGATAATTGCAAAAACAATAACAAAGAACAAAAAAAAAACCCAAACTAAAAAATCTCACATGTAAATGGATTGGATACGTAACTGAAAAATATACTAAACCATTACAGAGTGCCAATAAACAAGGTTTTGGTTTAGTTTTGTTACCGTACATATGTTGGGTTCCCGACACTGTATTCATATCAGGAGTAAAGTTTGTGGCAATTAACATGCGCACAGGCGTCAAGACGTCCACGTACGCAAGCGTAAATCTTTTCAAATGTTTAAAAAAATTACACTTAAAAACTAATTACAGCATATTTTAGGCCATTTTGAGAATTTTAAAACATTTCAATCCGCACCGCTCGCGCTTCCTGAGGGTCGAAGTGCGGCGGATCACCAAACTCGTCCTCAGTGACGAGTTAAAATCTAGTTACCCTTGTCTCTCCAAAGGGGAGAGGTTAATGGTATTGCAATCTCGCGCATCTGTGTGTGGTCTTCCGGGAGCATAGCAAAAAAACCACAGGACGATCTACTTCAAAATTGTACGCACTGACAATGTTACATGTATCTCGGTCCTCCTAGAATTTGGTACTGATCAGAAAAGTTTTATTTATATATTTTTTAGGCTTAGATTGGCTAGGCCTAGCCGAACCGAGTGGATCGACCTCTGCCCAGAGAAGAGCGTGTGTAAATTTTTTGCCTGCGGACAGGTAGAGGTCTGGCCGGCATGCAATCTCAACCGATTGATGGGTTTTCCACGCAAAACCTGATGCTACATCATTTGGCTAGGCCGAGCCGACGAGAGCGTATTGACCACGGGCCACTTTTTTGTCATTCACACAGATTTTTCGCAACAGGGAGCGCGTTTGTAATCTCAGATTATCGTGTTATTTGATATACATATGTTTTATATCCCCGATTGTGATTTTATAGTAAATTGACCAAAATGAACTTTATTGACTACTGACCCGTTAATCCAGCAGTTATGCCTCGTCAGGCAGGCAAGATGACTTTTTCTATTGGCCTCTGACCAGTTTATTCAGCAGTTACGTCTATTCAGACGGGCAGGGGAAAAAAACAATCGAACTAAACATTTAGTCGTGTTCGGGCTCTTGGACTATCGATTTTTTTCCCAAAATTTCTGATTATTTATTTACTTTTTTTGTTCTGTTTAAATTCAGTACTTGTGTTAGTTTGTTTCTGTTTTTCTAGATACTTGAAACGTACCAAGACGATGTCAAAGGAATTATGGATAAGGAGAAGGAATTCACACTGGAAGACTTCAAGAAGAAGTGTGGACCTTCTCCCAGTAAAGAGTATGGAGTTCAAGAAGAAGAGCTGGGAAAAAAGCTTGATGGTCAAATTCAGACTTTCCGCTCTGATTTCGCTGTCAAAGAAGTGAGTTATTTGTTTATTACTATTATAATATTTCTTTATGATGAGAATTAAAATTTAATCTTACCTCTTTTAATTTAATTAGAAGAGAATAAAAAAAAATTTGTCTGTTAGATCATAGAAAGGCAGAAAGTCTGTCAATGATCGGCAAAATATGATTGTTAAAACTTTACCTGAATATATCTAAAAATAATATATCGCAACAACGACTGAGCTACCGAATGAGCTCATTAAAAAATTGTAATACTATATTAAACAAATATATGTATATATATATGTATTTGCGAGCGGTTTGAAGCGGGGTTTGTTGACAACAAACTTTTTTGACTAATTTTTTTTCATCCCCAATCATTTCTTGAGTCTATTATATCGTGGATTAAACAACTGACTTTGCTGCAAAGTAATAGATACGATGCCAACCATTTATATAAATTTAACTAAGACATGTTTTTTTTTTTTGTTTATCAAAATAATGTGTCACCGAAAAAGCATGTATTGAAAAATTATTGAACATAGCATACAAGGACAAAACGCTCTCAGATAGCACTATTTAAATTAATAAAGCAGAGTTCGTAACCAATAAAAATATACCAAACTTTAACGGATTAAGATTTTTAATATAAAAATTCTATAATATATTTAATATTATAAAATTTGGAACATTTCAAAATACTTATTTTTGCAATTTGAAATTGCATTTGTTTACAAATGTTGAGCTTGATCATTTGTACAATTTTAATATCCCAATCAGTAATTGTACTCCAAAAAAGTTTACACATTACATGAATATGCACATTTATTCTATTGCAAAATGTCAGAAATATTTTGAAAAAAGCTTTACTAATATTGGCTGATTTTTCGACAAGAGTACCAAACTGTTCAAAAGAAGCGCAGGTAATATTTAAAATTATTTTTAAAGTGACACTGCACTTCTTGGCTAGGAAAATAAAAACAATTGCTCAACTCGGTCATTTCGTGTATGGCAAACGATCAAATTTGGCAAGTTTAATAATCTTTAAACTATGTATTCGTGGTTATCCTGATAATTCAATCATTACTAGCTCATAATTATCTTCTAGTTTACCTTTTATTCAAGACAATTATATTTGATTATGTGTATGTTCATGTGTACGCGGAGAGGTATCGAATATACTTTGGTACTATAAATAGTCCACATTCCGAATACCAACTTTTTCAGATCGGCAACGATGTTCGGTTTCGGTAAAGTTTGATTTGTAGAACATTTTTTAACAGGCCTGTATGTAGGCCTAGTTAGGGCCTTGCCTTTGAAATACGCACAACAAAACCTGTGGGCTTGGCATGACTAAACCTCGCCAAGTTAACACACTATTTAACATACGTAAAATACTACACGTCAAATTTAATTAATAATTAAATTGATGCATTTATATTGTTTTATGTGAATTTTCGTTATGAGGTATTTTTCAAAACACAACACATTCATTGTCGTCATGATGCCACTTGGAATATGACAAAAAAGGAAGATACGGCTGTATGACCACCCGGAGAAAGAAAGAAGCAAAAGTATTATTGTTAACACGTTTATAAAACATACACATACGATACACAGCTGATTTTTTTTTTTTTTTTTTACAATAATAAAATTAAATTTAATTTCTAATTAATCTGTTTTTTTATATGCCTTTTTTATTTCTTTCATTTTAATTTGAATTTATGTCTGGTGCTGTGCTTTTTATCCATTGTTTTTTTTTATGCTGTGTTGGGAATTTCTTGAATTTTGGTGTTCTGTTTTAAAATTTTTAAGCAATTATTAAGTAATACACTTATATACTGTTCCCTGCTCATATATAGTCTTTTGGCTGTCTGTTTGACATTTTAAATTTATATATTTATCTAAATAAAGAATAAAGACCTTGAATACAAAATTAGAAGTCGGGAAAACTCATTTCCCGCCATCTAGGAATCAACATTTTTTTGGGGGGGGGTCATCGATTCATGGAAAAAAAGAATACGTATGCAAAGTATGTACACCGGTACACACGTAATAAGCCTTTTTACTGTAATAAGAATGAGAAAAAATTATCTGGCCGTTTTCAAGGAGGAAAACCTTGAATGTTGAAGAACTTAAAAATGTAAAAAAACATCGAGAAAAAAAAATCGAGAAAGCTAATTTTCCGCCATCTAGAAATCGACATTTTCTCGGGGGTAACACAGACCCCTTTTTCTTTGGGGTTTATCGATTTAATGAATCGTTTTCAGTAGGGGAAAACCTTGCATTTTGAAGAACTTAAAACTCATTAAAAGACACCTCGGAAGTTGGGAAAGCTCATTTACCCCCTATTCAGGAATCAAAATGTTGCCGTTGACTGCCCCGACCCCCTTTACTTTTGAGATTTATCGATTCATGAAAAAAAGAATACGTATGCAACTACTTAATTTTTGATATGTATAATAATAATAATAATAATAATAATAATAATAATCAACATTTATATTATAGGGCCTACACACCTACAATACATACCTAGCTGTATACGCACATACAATAAGAATGAGAAAAAAATACCTGCCCTTTTTCAAGAGGGGACAACCTTGAATTTTGAGGAACAGGAATAAAAGACATAAAAAGAAATAAAAAGACATTTCAGAAATCGGGAATGCTCATTTCCCGCCATCTAGGAATCGCAATTTTCCCAGGGGAAACCCGAACCCCTTTTTTTCATCGATTCTTTTTTTCATCGTTCATCGATTCATGGAATCGTTTTTAATAAGAGAAAACCTTGAATTTTTGAAGACTTAAAAGTCACTTCAGAAGTCGGGAAGCTCATTTTCCATATTTAGAAATCAACATTTTGCTCGGGAGAATTCGAACCTCCCTTTCTATTTGGGGTTCCTTGATTCATGGAATCGTTTTCAAGAGGGGAAGTCCTTGAATTTTGAAGAACTTAAAAGTCATTAAAAGACACCTCAGAAGTCGCGAAAGCTCATTTCCCGCCATTTAGGAATCAAAATTTTCCCGGGAAGAATCCACAGTTTTCTTTTTTATATTCATGGTAGGACCTAAACTAACTTTTACAGATCGTAATTTTGTCCAGTTTGCTAAATATTGCAGTTTACACTTTCAATACCTTTTACAGGTCATTACGAATCATAGCGGTAAAAAAGCCCCTTGATATATTGCTTTTCATCTGACAGGCACAAGCCAACATTTTAGAAACGATAGGCTGACCTTAACAAATATACCTACGGACACTGCATAAAACAACTTAATCAACACATATAGACACGATAGACTGACAAATAATTATGATTACATTTAAAATGCATGAATAACAATTATATTTCGGATAACTTGAATAAAATATTTTTTGTGGGGTTCCTCAAGGCTCTGTATTGGGACTCACTTTTTAAAAATTGATATTATTGATCTTCCAAATTCATCATTTTTTATTTTCGTCTATTTGCCGGCGGTAATAATTTATTTCATTTTTTTCTGGAAAAATTCTTGATTCATCAGATATTTAATGTTTAATTTCAAAAAATTACCAGTTTGTGTAATTCAAATAAATTCAGAAACAAAAAAACAATTTTATAATTTTTTTGTCTAATGTATCAATATAAGTATTCTATTAAATTTTTCTATTAGTAATGTTTTAATTAAAGAAAGTTTGTTAATTTTGTTGGTAATAAGTTTGACAATTATCAGTCCTGGAAATACTGATGATGAACGTAACAGGATAAGAAACATGCTGGCTTTCTTTTTAAGTTAATACGATTAATTCTTCTAAGCATATTTATTGAACTTCATAATTCATTTATATTTCCTATTTTAACGTATATGTATGGCACATATATTTCATATTCAGAACGTATTTTTCTTTCTCAAAAAATGATTGTTGGATGTATTACTTTTTGCATTTTTAGAGCCCATACCCCGCCTTTGTTGTTTAGGCTTAAAATTCTTGATAATATAAAAATAAATACATGAATTAGGTTCTTTAATTTATTTTTGATATTTATCACGGTAGAATACACCATTCTACTTGCGATTGCTTTAAAAATATTAATCACAAATTTAATACTAGATTTATTAGAACTGTTTATTTTGCCTTGGCCAAGCCTCGTATTAATTTATGTTAACAAAGAATTTCGTTTAATGGCGTTAAATTATGGAATGATATTTCCTTAGTCACGAGAAATATTACAGGCAGTTGTCAAAGAAAATGTGTTTATTAAATATATTTCAGATCAACTTAACTTACCACATATATTTTAATTTTTACAATCGGTTTTGTTAAAATTATTTCTTTATATCCTGCTTCCGTCAAAATAAATCCATTCAAATTATTGTAAACTCTAGAATAATTGGTTTGTATTAGTTTTAATCATTGTGTTAAAGTTTTATTTAACTATACCTTACACCCTTTGTCAATTATTGTATAACTAACGGTATATTGTTGAAAATTAAGTTGAATCTTGAAAGTTGGATAATAACACGTTTTCTATATTGGACACGTCACACAAATACACCTAAAAAAAGAAATACTATCGACTACTGTATGTCGGGGAAAGACTCGCTCTAACAAAATACTTAAAATGGTGATCTAATCAAGCATTTGAACAAACTATGTGTTGCAAATGCGTTATCTCATTAAAACAAAAACGTCACAAAGAAAGAAAGATTGATCGAGTAATAAAAGGAAAATCAAATAAAAAATGATACAGAAAACAGCAAAGTGAAAACAATAAGAATTATAAGATAAATAAAATAAGAAGAAGCATAGGTTTTTAGTGAAGGAATTACATTTATTTAATGTTTTTATGAAACGTATACAACTCGCGCTGTATTACTTGTAATTATTGAGGTTAGAAAGATTGAAGAGAACTCTTAAAAAAACATAGTTTGATAGTAACAAAAAAAGATTAGGGAAATTTTGTATATCCAACTGACAACTTCGGTCTTACCCATGAGAACCAGAACATAACAAACTGTACATCTTTCTTTATCCTATTGAATACAG